AGCGTGAAAGTGAAAGTAAAGGCTGATTGGAGGAGGCTCATTCTCGCGCTACAGATGCTCTGTTTAACTGTTTAACAGAGAAGAGACTCTGATTGGTTTATTCTCAAAACACACCTATAACTCATTAAGAGAAAAAGCTCAACCCTGTTAGACCATGTGCTGCGGCGCAGAGCGTATTTTTCCGTCCTAAAGTGAAAACCTAAAGTGGATTCAGACACGCCCTTTACACGTTTGCGCCCTGGGGTTTGGACTTTACGTCTAGATTGTTAAAATAGAGCCCTATATGTTTTTTAGACAAGTGTAAAAACCCTCTAATTTTGGTGGCTTCAGTCATTGTTGAGATCATCTTAAATCTGGAGACATGAACAACTTTGAATATTGAATTATATATCGTTATCCTTTATTATGGAAAATAAATTTCAAGATTGCATTTTTGCCATTTCGTCCGGCCCTAATTTCAACTTTTCCTAAAAGCCTTAAACATGAGACTTTTTCTCGTCTTGAGCACTAACACTGCATGTGTTCGATATGTGATAATGATTTATAAAGTGTAACACAATGCCCTGACTCTTTTCTTTTTACATCAGAGCAAACACACTGACATCTTCAGATGCGTCAAGCAAATTAGCGCTAATTTCTCACTTAAACACTTTTATCCCAAGTGACACTTTTCAGCAGTATAATCATCACACTGGAGTAACACATCTGACAAGCTTCAAACCTGCAATCCTTCAGGCAACACAACTCCAGAAGCTCATTTCTGACACATAAGGGGAATCATAATAATTATAATAACAAGTCATAATTGAAAGAAAGTCCTACAATCAAAAAATGCCGTTTACTGCTGCTTGTTCAAACTACTTAATTAAAATGAGCTGAATTAATTAACACAATTCTTGAGTTTTATTTGAGAAAGCTTAAATGTTCAGTCCACCTAAATTTGTAAAAACAATTCATTTTCTTTTGGCTTAGTCATTTAGGGTTGCCACAGCGGAATGAACCGCCAACTATTCTAACATATGTTTTACGCAGAAGATACCCTTCCAGCTGCAACCTAGCATTGGAAACACACACACACACACACACACTACGGTCAATTTGGTTTTATTCAATTCACCTGTACCGCATGTGTTTGGACTGTGGGGGAAACAGGAGAACCCGGAGGAAACCCATGCCAACACAGGCAGAACATGCAAACTCCACACAGAAATACCGGGACTATTTCTTCTTCCACCCTTCTTCCTGTGATTTTTGTTATACTTATGACTAATTCTTACTTTGCTATGGTAAAACTTTCATAGCTATGTCAATACTAACTGTGGTTGAAATTTACATATTATGACTTCATAGCTGTCCTTATCATATAAGCTTATCGCAATCACGAGACTCTCCTATCATTTGACTTTCATAATGATGGCTTTATAGTACAGGATTTTGACCTCTGATCCTATAATAGTAACTTATAAACTATTATAAACACAAAAGATGATATTTTGAAAAATGTTAAAACCTGGTAACCATTGACGTCCATAGAAAAAACTAATGCTATGGAAGTCAATGGTTACAGATTTTTGGCATTCTTCAAAACACCTTTGGTGTTCAAACGGAAGAAACTTGTGACAAGTGAAGGATGAGAAAAGGATGACAGAATTGTCAGTTTTGAGTGAACTGTCTCTTTAAGGCTTCCATAAATGAGACCATACAAAGATATTTAATCATGAGCTCATTTTCTTTACCATATGTTGGTCAGTGTTTGGTTTTGATCTCATAATTGATCACCTCACGTCAACTTAATGAAACAGGACATCATTTCTACTTTTGACTATCTGAAATGACATTTGGCAAAAGACTGACTTCTGATTTAGATTTTCTCGTATTTGACATCATATCTTCATTACAAAATAGAGATTTGACTTCTTACGCCTCAAGACTTCACTTGATCACCCAAAACTGATAATTCTTATGACTCCAACATTCTTCGAAGTATCTTCTTTTGTGTTCTACTGAAGAAAGAATCTCAGAACGGTCATTTTTGACTAAACCGTCCTTTTAGGCTTCCATAAATGAGATCAAAACAGTTACGCTGAATTAAGACATTTATTCATGATTTCATATTTTTGACCATATGTTGGTCAGTGTTTGATTTTAATTTTATAATTAATCTACTATTGTCAACTTAATGAAATAGGACTTCATTTCGACTAACTATCTGAAATGAAATTTGGCGAAAGACTGACTTCTGATTTAGATTTTCTCGTATTTGACAACATATCTTTATAACAAAATAGAGATTTGACTTTTTAAGTCTCAAGACTTCATCACCCAAAACGGAAAATTCTGTCCTTATTTACTCAGCCTAATAAACCTTCATGACTTTGTTTCTTCTGTTAAACAGAAAAGAAGGTCTTTTTAAGAATGGTGTAAACCTATAACCATCGACTTCCATTGAATATTTGTTTTTTATATATGGATGGTTACCGGTTTCCAACATTCTTCAAAATATCTTCTTTTGTCTTCAACAGAAGAAAGAAACTCGGAACTGTCAGTTTTGAGTGAACTGTCCCTTTAAGGCTTCCATAAATGAGACCATACAAAGACATTTAATCATGAGCTCATATTCTTTACCATATGTTGGTCAGTGTTTGGTTTTGATCTCATAATTGATCTACTCACGTCAACTTAATGAAACAGGACATCATTTCTACTTTTGACTATCTGAAATGACATTTGGCAAAAGACTGACTTCTGATTTAGATTGTCTCGTATTTGACATCATATCTTCATTACAAAATAGAGATTTGACTTCTTACGCCTCAAGACTTCACTTGATCACCCAAAACTGACAATTCTTATGACTCCAACATTCTACGAAATATCTTCTTTTGTGTTGTACAGAAGAAAGAATCTCAGAACGGTCATTTTTGACTAAACCGTCCTTTAAGACTTCCATAAATGAGATCAAAACAGTTACGCTGAATTAAGACATTTATTCATGATCTCATATTTTTGACCATATGTTGGTCAGTGTTTGATTTAAATTTTATAATTAATCTACTATTGTCAACTAAATGAAATAGGACTTCATTTCTACTAACTATCTGAAATGACATTTGGCAAAAGACTGACTTCTGATTTAGATTTTCTCGTATTTGACAACATATCTTATTTACAAATCAGAGATTTGACTTTTTACATCTCAATTCTTCACTTGATCACCCCACACTGAAAGTTCTGTCATCATTTACTCAGCCTGATAAACCTTCATGACTTTGTTTCTTCTGTTGAATGGAAAAGAAGATATTTTAAATAATGGTGAAAACCTGTAACCATTGACTTCCATTGTATATTTGTTTGTCCTATATAAATGGTTACCGGTTTCCAACATTCTTCAAAATATCTTGTTTTGTGTTCAACAGAATAGAGAAACTTATACTGGTTTTGAATTACTCGATGTGCAGTAAACAGAGAGCAAATTTTATAAATTGAGGTGAAATATCCCTTTAAATATGACTAAGTACCTCATTCATGCTGTAAATCTAATGCAATTTTTAAAATAATTTCGACTGTGTCTATACAGTAAATACAGGATGGGCTCCACACAATCAATTTGTTTTAGGACAACATAAAAGCATTAAGTTGACATATTAGTTTTTACATATTTAAGTGAATTGAACATAAAACAATTAAGTTTTCCTTGAAAAAAACTCAAGAATTGTGTTGTTTCAGCTAATTTTAAATAAGTATTTTGAACAAACTGCGAACATCATTTTTAGATGTAATGTTTACTCATTAATAACAGCAGCAATAATAATAATAGTAATAGATGATGATGATGATGATGATGATGATAGTGATAATAATAATAAAATAATAATAATTATAATAATAAATGATAATGAGACTGATAATAATAAAATAATATTAATAATAATAATAATGCTAGATGATGATACTGATAATAATAATAAAATAATTATGATAATTATAATAATATTAATAATAATAATAATAATAATAGATGATGATGATGATGATGATACTGATAATAATAAAATAATATAATAAATAATAATAATAATAAATGATGATGAGACTGATAATAATAAAATAATATTAATAATAATAATAATGATAGATGATGATACTGATAATAATAATAAAATAATAATGATAATAATAATAATAATAATAATAATAATAGATGATGATGATGATGATGATGATGATACTGATAATAAAATAATATAATAAAAAATAATAATAAATGATGATGAGACTGATAATAATAAAATAATATTAATAATAATAATAATGATGATGATGATACTGATAATAATAATAAAATAATAATGATAATAATAATAATAATAATAATAGATAATGATGATGATGATGATGATAATGATACTAATAATAATAAAATAATATAATAAAAAAATAATAATAATAAATGATGATGATACCGATAACAATAATAATAATAATAATAATAATAATAATAATAATAATGATGATGATGATTATAATAATAATAATAGTAATAATAATAATAATTGATGATGATGATGATGATGATGATACTGATAATAATAATAGTATTAATAATAATAATAATAATAATGATGATGATGATGATGATAATACTTTTTGTTTATAGGAGCCTTTCAAAGCACTCAAGGACACCTTACAGTATATAGCGAGCACAATATAAACACAGTGAAAAGCAACAGACAGCATATTAAACCAGCAAAACATCATTAAAACCTATCCTGAACAAAAACACTTCCACAACTTTGGTACTGCACAACCTAAAAGCCCTGCTGCCAGCAAATGATTCGTCTTCAAGTTTGGAACATTAACAATCACATTAGACTTTCTGCATCATAATTATGACTTTGCATCTCATAATTATGATTTAAGAAAAGTGTCATCTTTCCCTGATGAAATGGCCCTTCACGCACAACACCAGCCAGTAGTATTAATAACAATATCATCCTCACCTCTTTGACTTTCTCCCTCCTCTGAAGCGTCCCGGAGTCAGATGGAGTCCCCTGGTCCTTTCCGATAGGTGGTTTCAGGAGGCACTTTTTAAACGCCTCATAGTTGAAAGAGCTGCTGTGTTCCTGGTTATGAGCCGCCGCGGTGACCCGCTCGTCCCTGGCCGCTGGTTCATGCGCCCTCGCCGGGCTCCACTCGTCCTGCGCCCGGCTCCCAACCGATCTCTCCACGGTTCTCGCTCCATGGGTGACCGACGGCGTGCGGCTCACTTTCAGTTTGAGATTGGCCTCAGCACCTTTTAATCCCGCCCGCTGGTGCTCTGGATCCCCGGGCACCTTTTTGGAAAGCTCATTCTCGGAGCCCACAGTCACCGCGGGACTCTCATTTTTGGAGAGGAAAATGCGCTTCAGACGCACGCTGTCGGGTAAGAAGAAAAGCGCCCCGAAGCACAGAGTGACCAAGCCCGAGAGGAACAGCAGAAAGACGAATTTCTGAGAAAGACGAAGCCCCATGCCCGATGCGGAGACACCGGGTAACTTTCGCAGCACCATTTAATACGCGCGACACTACACTAATGTGCGGGGAAAAATACACTATGCGTGCGATCAAAACCCACGTGTTTCTGGTGTGATAGAAATGCAGAACGAACTGTAGCCTGTTCAAAGTGCCCAAATCTGTCAGGATCAATCGATTTAAGAGACCACAGGTGGAGTCGACACATTCGCGCACAGCAAGAGCGTCATTGCGCATCAGCGTCAACAGCGGTTTCCTTCAGATTCAGAGCATCTCATCTGGCAAAACCAGCATGCGACTCGGACAAAAGTATCTACACACCGCCTCCTAAAGATGACAATGACGCGTATCTAGGAGATGAATGTGAAACTTGATGGACTGGAGTGGATTAAAGCAGGATATTATGCACAATATGCACAAGCATCACACAAAACGCCAATCAAACATATCATGATATATGGAAAAATGACAACGGGGCTTAGTTAGTAACGTTAAGGGATGCAATGAGATTATGAATGCATTCTAAAAAGTGGAATTAGCATTAAAGTAGTCTGTATGCGCGTGCACAGCCAACATGCATCACATTAATATGTTAAGGTGACCACAAACACGTTGATGATGCTGACCTAAACTCAAATGCACTTTATAAAGTCAAAAGCAGCATTTAAGAGAGCTAAAATGTCATGCATAGCATTAATGACCACCCACTAAAACGCATTAATTAAAAAGCAAGCTGAGGTTAATGAGACTCGCTGTACTTTAGAAAGTGACATTAATGCACATCAAACCCCTTTGCATTAAAAATCAAGCATCCATATTCTCACACAACTGCTTTGTAATGACGCTGATGATAAGTATCATGGCCAAACAGTGCAATGCTGAAGTTTGCAGAACGAAACAAGACACATCTCAATAGATAACCCCCATATATTGCAACATCGCAGGTTACTTAATATCATCTACGCGCGTTTGCCACCGTGCACATCACTCCAGCAGACAAGAGCCGCAAAAATACATCCAAAGATCGAATCAAGAGCCGACGCGACGGCGAAATGCGGTCCAAGTGTTTGCAAAAACTGTTGGTTTCCTCTGCTTATGCGCCGTGCATGCTCAAAAACTCTCCCCTGCGCATGAAAGTCTGCGTCCAGAGCATGAAGGAGGACGTCTGTGCTCGTGAAATGCGATCGACTGATGGATGGATCATTCTTCGGAAATGCAATCTAACGAAAACACGCCGTGTCTTGCCATTATTACTGCGCGCTCTCTTCCGCGCGCGCCACAGAAGCACGGAAGGAAATGCACGCCGATGGTAGCCGACCTCTGCGGGGAAGAGTCTCGCTGAAAACGGCTTGAAATGATGCCGATGTGATCCGCAAACAGCAGGCGAATGGAGCTGTGAGTGTCCGGTTCTCCTGGGCGGTCTGATCTGCTCTCTGCAAACGCCTTTGATCAGCAGTGGTGGTGAGGGGGAGCGAGTCATTTACTGAACCGAGCCGGGGATTCAGTGAGCCGACAGCACCACCGTGTGGCCTGTTTGGGAACTGGAAGTGTGGAGCTCGGAGAAATAATATACTGCATTTGTATTTGGGTAGTTGAGAAATGCAAATACAGTAGCACATTTTAATGAAAAAATAGCCATAAAGAATGGCATATATGGCGATATCGCTGAAAAAATATTTATTTGATTAACTTTTTTTAAAGTAAGTAGTTGCAAACAATTTATATAGGCTGAATTGAAACAAAAAATTAAATTGAACAATACTAAATTTAATATTTGTTCAAATTCTGCCTTTATAAATTGTTTGCAACTACTTACCTTAAAAAAAATCAGTAAATCCAATTAATCTTTTTTTTCTGCATAGCTACCGTAATTAGATTACTTGTCCACATTCATAAAAAATTGGAACAGGAAGGCATTTACCACGCTGTAATGTTGCCATTCCTATCCACAACACTTAAAAGACATGTAGGGACTGAAGACACTTAATAATAAGGTGTTTCAGGTGTAATTTCGTCCCATTCTTCCTGCAGACAAGTCTCAAGGTGGGCAACAGTACAGGGTCTTCGTTGTCGCCTTTTGCGCTTCAAAATGTACCACACATTCTATATTGGACACAAGTCGGGACTGCAGGCAGGCCAGTCAAGTCCTGTATCCTCTTCCTTCGTAGCCAGGATTTTGTAATGCTCTAAGGGATTACTTTTCATTTTCATGTTTAATTACTGCTACTTACTATGTACTCTTAAATACTGTACATAAATTCAACAGTTTTGGATCAATCAGTAAGAAAAAGCAAAGTAATTCATTGATCAAGTAGATTAAACTTGCTTGAGAAACAATGAAGAGAGTCAGAATTCATCTTAATATATGGTATGCGTGAAGCATTGCTTTGAAATGTCATGTGTTTTGATACATATATTGTTTATATTCCTCAATATATATATATATATATATATATATATATATATATATATATATATATATAATATTTCTAAAGATAATATGCTTAGAATTGTGTTTAAAAAGTCTGCTCTCTGTTAAACAGAAATTAGGGAAACAAAATAAACAGGGCAGATGGCTTAAAGGGGCTAAACATTTTGACCTTAAAATGATGTTTAAAAAATTTTAAATTGCTTTAATTTTTGCAGAAATAAAACAAATAGGATTTTGTCCTGAAGAAAAAATATTCTCAGACATACTGTGAAAATTTTCTTGCCCTGTTAAATATAATTTGGGAAATATTTAAAAAAGAAAAACAAATTCAAAGGGGGGCGAATAATTCTGACTTTAATTCATTCATTTTCTTGTCGGCTTAGTCCCATTATTAATCCAGGGTCACCACAGTGGAATGAACCGCCAACTTATCCAGCAAGTTTTTACGCCCACTGACCCAGTCGAGGCTCGAACCAGCAACCTTCTTGCTGCGAGGCCACAGCATTACCTACTGCGCCACTGCGTCGCCTGAAAACCTAACCGTGTTTTATTATAAATTTAGATGTAATTTAAACAAATACATGAATTTGATTCAGTTTTAGTGAGTGTGTGTGGAAATTTTCCAGGGATGGGCTGGAAGGGCATCCGCTGCGTAAAAACGTGCTGGATAAGTTGGTGGTTCATTCCGCTGTGGAGACCCCTGGATTAATGAAGGGACTAAGCCGAAGAGAAAATGAATGAATGAATGAGTTAAGTTTTCAGTGTTTTGGTTGGTGTTTAGTGTATACAACCATTCTCAGTAAGTTACTGTAAATGTTACAGTCAGTTATTTACAATTGTGTACTTTTATTCAACCAGCAAGTGTTTTTTTTTTTTTTACTTGAAATGACACAGGCTTCTCCGAAAAGATAAAACGATGTAAGAGGCATCATTGTGGATAAGAAAATATTTCTTTAGTTAACTTTACTGTATATTTTTATAAATGACCATACAGTACATTAGATTTCTGTATGGTGAATGAAAACATGTCATGAAAACACTCTATGAGGGTATACAGCATCATAGTTCATTTTTCACAAATCAGTGTTTTCAGTCCATTGCAAAATGGAAAATACACCTTCCTGAAACCTCTCATATTGACAAAACACTTGGTAAAACCTGCATTTGACAACTAAATTACACAGACGTCAAGCACAAGCGCTTTTTCTCTTTTGCAGAACTGTAAATTTTGGGTTCATAGATGGAAAAAACAGATGCAAGTCGCTCAGAATTCAATATGCAAGAACACAACTCAGTATGCAAATCAGCTCAAAGGTACAAAGTCAAAGGTGCTGTAAGAGATCTCAAGCACTTTGCAGAAAGCAGTAATGTATTATACCTCAGTTCTCTTTTACATCCATCTCAGGGGCCGCTGCTTGGCTTCTGGGGGATTTCACATCTGCCGGATTTGCTTGTGTGCTCAGTTCATTTTAAACAAGCAGCAAAAATCATAAAAGTATAGTGCACTTTCAATGCACTTTATAAAAGATAGTGTAAAGGATTGGGATTTATCACTTTCTTGCGGATATAATTAACTAAAACAAATTTAAAAACTGCACTAAGAAATGTCTACTAATAATTATATATCTACAGGGTGGGCCATTTAGATTGATACACCTTAATACAATGGGATTGGTTGGTGATATTAACGACCTGTTTGTGGCACATTAGTATATGTGAGGGGGCAAACTTTTCAAGATGAGTGGTGACCATGGTGGCCATTTTGAAGTCGGCCATTGAATTCAACTTTTGTTTTTTTTCAATAGGAAGAGGGTCATGTGACACATCAAACTTATTGGGGATTTCACAAGAAAAACAATGGTGTGCTTGGTTTTAACATAACTTTATTATTTCATGAGTTATTTACAAGTTTTTGACCACTTATTAAATGTCTTCAATGTGCTGGCCCTTGTGTTGGATTGGCAATGCAACCCTCGTCTCCCACTCTTCACACACTGAACACCGCAGGAGAAATGCCAGCACAGGCTTCCAGTATCCGCAGTTTCAGGTGCTTCACATCTTCTATCTTCACACCATAGACAATCGCCTTCAGATGACCCTAAAGATAAAAGTCTAAGGGGGTCAGACCGGGAGACCTTGTGGGCCATTCAACTGACCCACGCCGAACAATCGACTTTCCAGGAAACTGTTCATCTAGAATTGCTCGGACTTGACACCCACAATGAGGTGGTGCACCATCTTACTTGAAAAACTCAGGGAATGTGCCAGCTTCAGTGCATAAAGACGGAAACACATCATAGTCAAGTCAAACTAATATAGAAGGAGAAAAAATCCATCCGCCATTCAGAGGGAGAGGCGGAAGGACATGCAGTAGTTCGGCCTTCACGTAAGACAAAAAGGAAACTGAAACCTAACCAGAACAGAATCTCCGCCAAAGACGAATCTCCGCCAAAATTGAGCAAAAGAAAGTGCACAACAGTTCAAAAAAACCATAATCAAGTCCCAGAGTGGCAGCCGGTGAGAAGTTTACGTTGTTCATTGCATGAAAATCGCGGCTGGCATGTCAGTATTTGAGGGCAAATCAACTGTGAAGCAGCATCTGAGTTCAAGTTCAGCACAGAGAAAAATGTGCTCCTACAGTGCTTATCTGCTCGCTTCTTAAATTACTTGAAGTTACAAATAGTTATTCGGAAACTAGAAGATGTTATGAAGCACAAGTGTAAAGTTTTGGTTATTTTAATCATCATTTGAGTAATATCTGACTGACGTTAAGATGTTGATTTTCCTCCGTGATTCATGCGCGCATGAGCGGATCACGTGCACATAATTTGATTGCTGCAATAGCATAATTAATCGCATTTCTTTAAATGTCTTAAAACTAAATATTTAAGTTCAGTATATTTAACTGTACTGTTGATTGTGCTTTAACACGTGTTAATTCATTATAATATTTGAAAATACTGTGTTAAACATCAGACAAAATTCACAAACGTATATATATATATATATATATGTGTGTGTGTGTGTGTGTGTGTGTGTGTGTGTGTGTGTGTGTGTGTGTTTATTTGCAATTTAATTACATATCTTGTATTTTTGTTTATTTTGAAGGTTTTTCACCTTTCTACTTTCTACCTGTTTGCCTTTCTGCTGCATTTATGATGCAATAAATGGATGAGGGGAATCCAGTTAAAACTCCCTTGATGATGTGACTTCCTTTCAAGCGGGAAAACTTTTGCATAAGAGAAATAGCTTGACAATCATCATGGAGCAATGTCAAATATCCAGTGGCCTTGAGGTTTCCACTGATGAAGAATGGCCCCTCTATCTTTGTTGTCTATGATGTGAAGATAGAAGATGTGAAGCACCTGAAACTGCAGATACTGGAAGCCTGTGCTGGCATTTCTCCTGCGGTGTTGCTATCAGTGAGTGGGAGAAGAGGGTTGCATTGACAATCCAACACAATTGGCAGCACATTGAACATATTTTATAAGTGGTCAGAAACTTGTAAATACCTCATGAAAGAATAAAGTTATGTTAAAACCAAGCACACCATTTTCTTGTGAAATCCCCAATAAGTTTGATGTGTCACATGACCCTCTTCCTATTGAAAAAAAAACAAAAGTTGGATTCAAGATGGCCGACTTTAAAATGGCCAGCATGATCACCACCCATAGATATATACACTAGATGTCGCCTGGCCTATTGTTGTCTATTGGACGGAATGCGTCAATAGCGTCGCCATCTTGCTACAGAGTAGCACTCCTTTGAAATGAATGCGGGACCAAGGTACAGTGGAGGACTGTGGCTATGCAAAGCCAGGGATATACACATATACACATATATCTATGATCGGGAGTTTTCCTGGATGTTATTATGTAATTTTTTTTTCTAATTACGAAAATTATAATTTTACATCACTTTTCTACATTGATGGATGAGTGACCGCACGGGCATTCCTGACAAAAAGCTTGTGTTTGTGTGTACAGAAATGTACTATCCACCCTCCCTGTTAAATTTGATCTAATCATGTCCTGAAACACAGCTCCTCTCCTGCTTTCACTTCTCATACTGACGGAGGGAGCGATTCGTTTGTGAATGAATCCCCCGAACGACTCTTTCACTAACGTTAGCCGACAATAGTACAAGTTTCTGGCAGCGCAGCATCTCGTTGTCATATTTCTTTTGCATTGTTTGCTGATTTTATTCAACAAAACTAGCATAAGCCGAGTGTTTAGTGCGAGTTGGAGCTGCTTTGCCATATGGTGAATGCAGTAAGTGACTGTTATCATCAATAACGTTACCTAATTAGCACAAAAGTTCAGGACATACAAAAACAGAAAAAAACTTAATATTAACTATGTAATGTTCTGCCTTTGTGCTTTGTTTTCTTTGTTTGCTCGTTACTACACTCGTAGACAGCGCTAAAGTCCCGCATCTTCACGTAATAACACTGTCTTGACTAGTGCGGTTGATTGACATTAGTCCTGGTAGCACTGTACCAATATGGCGGCGCTATTGACGCATGCTCAGGGTCCCTATGCGATATCTAGTGTATATATCTATGATCACCACCCATCTTGAAAAGTTTGCCCCCTCACATATAATAATGTGCCACACACAGGACGTTAATATCACCAACCATTCATTTTATTAAGTTGTATCCATATAAATGGCCCACCCTGTAGATATATAATTATTAGTAGACATTTCTAAGTGCAGTTTTTAAATTTGTTTTAGTTAATTATAACAGCAAATAGGTGATAAATCCCAATCCTTTACACTATCTTATATCATTGATGAAAGTGCCTTGTAATTTTGCAGCTGGAGATTTTAAAACTTCTTCATGGAGCTTTTGCTTTTGCTTTAACTTTAGTCTTAAAGTAGAAACATAAGAAAGTTTCCATGCAGCACTTTTTTTCTGCTCATGTAGTAAACTGCAGAATCACCAGCGCTTTGTTTAAATCTACCCTGCTTTAGCTGAGCATTCACATATTTACAGCGTACAATCAACACCACACAATCAATGCAGAAATTGAAGAGATTTTCCAATCAAAGAGGACAGAGACGGAGGGCAGGTTTTCCTGCAGCAAAGCAAGACGAATGATCCCGATTAATGTGCTGCTGATCATTAAGAAACAACAAGCCGCAGCAAAAAAAAACACAAGTTAGTTAAAGGAAAGGTCAAGAAGAAAATAAAAGTATAGTGCGACTGGCAGCAGAAAATTTCCATCGAGCGCTGATTGTTCAGGCCTCACGGGACGCCGGTTTACAGGCCATTACTAACAGGGAAACGTGAAGCCATTCCCAAAACAACACAGCGGTAATTCAGATGAACAGGAGATTCAGAGATGTATAAGCAGAACTGTGCTACTGTTTTGATCTTGTTTCAGTCATTTTCCTTTGGTGTAGTCCCTTATTTATCAGGGGTCGACACAGAGAAATGAACCACCAACTATTTCAGTATATGCTTTCCACCAGCCAAAACCCAGTATTAGGAATAACACACTCATTCACACACACACACACACACACACACACACACACACACACACACACACACTCATACACTATGATCAATTTAGTTAATCAATTCTCCTATAGCGCATGTGTTTGGACTGTGGGGGAAGACGGATCACCCCGAGGTTACGCCAACACAGGGAGAATATGCAAACTCGACACAGAGATGCTAACTGACCCAGCCTGGAAACAAACCAGCGACCTTCTTGCTGTGAGGTCACAGTGCTTCATTTATTCATTACATTTTTATTTAACGTGTGGGCAGTAAGAATATATATTGTAAATATCTACAGAATATCTGCGTAAATAAATCTCTTTTAAGAATATCTATTGTAAAAGCGCTATATATAATAAACATGAATTTAATGTTTTTATTTTCTATGTTTTGTTTTATTCATTATATTTTAGAATAAAGTTGCCAGTTGTCAAAATAATAGGTGGTTTGTTAATGGATTTAGTCTTTTTCCATGAAACATAACGACTTTCTTTGAATTTTTATATATTTTATTTCAAGATTTTTCTTGAAATTGAACAAGTTTCTTTTCTTAAAACAATGACTTTATTCTTAGGATTTAAAGTTTTTATTTTAAACATTTTATTTCAATGTTTTGTGTGTGTGTGTGTGTGTGTGTGTGTGTGTGTGTGTGTGTGTGTGTGTGTGTGTGTGTGTGTGTGTGTGTGTGTGTGTGTGTGTGTGTCTTTTTCACAAAAGGAAATTTAAGGAAGTTTTTCCTTAAATCAAGCAAAATAATCTGCCAATGGGCTAAGCAAAATATTCTTGTTTTTCGATTTTTGATAAGATTATTTTGCTTACCCCATTGGCATATAATTTCTTAAAACAAGACAACATGTTTTGCTTGTCTAGAAAATGTTTCCTGATTTAGGAACCTTTAGATATTTGGACTAGAAACAAGACAAAACATCTAAGTGAGAAAAACATTTTTTGCAGTGTAGATCCTCGAGCCAAGGGCTCGCTCCCGTTTGCAGGGCGAGAGGGGAGTTTGAGCTCAGGTAGATCTCGAGAACAGATTATAATTTGCTCTGTGGAGATATACTGCTGGTTAAGAGCTTGACTATAGTGTTAATTCAGATTAATCAATTCCCTTATGACACATGTTTTTGGACTGTGGGAGGTAACCGGAGAACCCAGCCCTGCTAAAAAATCCAGCTTAAACCAGCCTAGGCTGGTTGGCTGGTTTTAGATGGGTTTTGGGCATTTACAAACTGGTTTCCGGCCATTTCCAGCCTGGTCTTAGCTGGTCAGGCTGGAAAATGACCAGCCAAATCCAGCTAAAACCAGCTTGACCAGCCTGGTTTAATCTGGATATACCTGGTTTTGGCTGGACTCCCAGCTTGGCTAGGCTGGTCAAGCTGGTTTTAGCTGGTCATCTCCCAGCCTGACAAGCTAAGACCAGGCTGGAAATGGCTGGATACCAGCCTGGAAATGGCCAAAACCCCTCTAAAACCAGCCTGGTCGACCAGCTAAAACCAGCCAACCAGCCAAGGCTTATATTATTATTATTATTCAATCAAGAGTTCACACTTAGCTGATGATCTATCAAAAGCTTGTTTGGCATGCTGTCCCGGGAGAGAGCCCCGAGCTCAAGGGATCCTCGCAGGGCCGGAGTGGGACTCCTTTTCAGCCCTGGAGTTTCAAGCCTCAGACCGGCCCACCTCAGTTCACGACTGACTATATTAAAATAAGGACATTTCCAATTCAGTTTCTAATGACACTATCACGTTTTTTTTTTTTTTTTGAGAAAACAGCTGCTTTAGAACTTAAAATGTTCAACAACCCTAACAGTATTATATGTCTTAACAATAAAAATGAAAAAAAAAAAATAGTACTTAGGCGAGGATCGAACCCGGGTCTTCGGTATCATATACTAACGTTCTATCCACTGAACCACAACAACCATTCTAAGTTATATCATCATCAATCTGTAGGCTGCAACGTGCTCACTAAGCTACGAAAAAATAGATCAAAAGAGGAGAGCTGCGGTAAAATAATGAATAAAAAGGCTGTGGTCAAGTAAATACATAAATAAATAAATTTAAAAAGTGTGACTGCTGAGAGCAACAGATTCTGGAGCTAGGGATACCGTCCCTCGCGGCCAAAAAACAGGCCGGCCCACCGGGAATTCTCCCGGTCCTCCCGATTAGCCAATCTGGGTTTGGATCCTCGAGCCCGGGGCTTCCTCCCGTTGGCAGAGCGAGAGGGGAGCCTGAGCTCGGTGGAATTCAGAACTCCCCGGCTGCGGTAGCTAAGGGAACACATGAGAAAAGGGGCTAGACAAGTGCTTGATTGTTATGCATGTTGTGCATCTTTGGATGGTGGGAGGAAACCGGAGAACCCGGGGAAAACCCACGCGGACACGGGGAGAATATACAAACTCCTCACAGATACACCTACCGGCCTGGCGGAACCAGGGCCGGCAGTGTTCTTGCTGTGGGGCTCACAGTGTTAACCACTGGCCGCCGTGCCGCCTGATCAGAGGTAAAGGAGGAGAATAGGGGAGGAGGGGGGTTTCTTCCAAACGAAGATGAAGTGGACTGAAAACTGTGGTTATTTATAGTAGCTTATAGGACTCATATGATTGGAAGATAGTGATTAGCTAATACGAGACCGGCCGTGATAAATCATAAGCACGTGATCCTCTCGAAATTA